CTGGCCCTAGGACTTGAGATAAATGAACCTTCTTAGAAAAGTCAATATGTTGGGTAACCATGGAATCCCTATGGAAAACCCGCCCAAGAGGAAGAGACAGAGGATGGTAGAGAATGGTGAATAAAAAGATGTAAACACACAAACATAGAGACTCACAGGAGTAATCTCAATAACCAACTCCTCTTAGATGGGAGAAGATTTTAAAAACAAGAGCCTGAGAGTGAGAAGCATAAGGGTTTTAGAAAATCATACACACACATACACATGTACATGCTATATGAAAATCATATATATTTAGCTCATATTATGTTTCAGCCAATTTAGAATTGTGAATTGAGTTTGTTTAGTTTTGGGGTTTTTTTGTTTTGTTTTGTTTTGTTTTTTAACTGACTATGACAGTATCAAAAGTTGTTTAAAACCCTGGGGAAAATACTCATTGTTGGCACATTTAATGTGACAACACTTTCTGAACCAAATATATTTACGAATACATTTAACTGGAAATGCGTATCTAATCTTTCTTTAGTCAACATGTCAAGACGAAAGAAAAGGCTGAATCTTTGGACTAAGTCATTCCTACCACAGATTCAAAGACGCCTGGTGATTTAATGAGCTAGACAGGAAAAAAAAATATGGGATTTTGTAAAACAAAAAAGACTTTTTACATGACACGCATGTAAAAGGAAGGCTTCAGAAGGCATTATTTTTGATTCAAGGTTTCTTTGGGCTTCAAAACTCATTTTATTCTTGGTTAGAGCCAGTTATTTGTTGGGATTAAGTAAGTAATGGCTGATAAATTCTTGGTATTATGTGAATCATTTTTAAAAGCATTTCTGTCATCTTCAAATTTTACCCAAATTACTCATAACTTATAAAAGTTAACATCAGCTCATCTTCAAAAATAATCATCCATATAACTTAATAGAAATATCTCTTAAAAAGTGTATATAATAACCCTTACAATGTAGCAAAGATACACACACATATCAAGTGTGATATATACATGTGTACCCATATACAAGAGTGTAGATATCCCAGTTTAAACTTCTCACATGGAAATCATCTCCTGGGCCCTACTGCTTTAAAGGGCCCTACTGCTTTAAAGGGCCTACACTGAGTAGCCTTGTCTTCCTTGTGACCAATCCTCACTCTTCCTTCAGTCCTCACATTTCAATATGCCTCAGTTGTTCCCCATGTTTTGCCCCACTTAACCCAATGTCAGAAGAAGAAGGCTTCCATTTCTTTATTCAAGCTAGCCAATGGCCAGCCAGAACTCCCAGCCCTTACTGGACAGGAGAAAAAAGGAGAGCCTCAATAGGCCCCCTCTGTAAAAGCTTTCTACAGAGTGGAACTGTGATAGGTGGAAGGTGCTGAGCACAGTGAATCTGAGACAAGCTCCTACTCTAATCAGCCTGCTTCTTTCACCACACTGTCAACATACCCAGACCAGAAGTTAATGGGCAGGGTTCTATTTCCTTCTCATGGATTCCATAAGAACCTGCTCACAATGGGCTGCTCCTGGACAGGTGTTTGTGTCCCATTATTCCATAACTATTGAAAACTGTCTCCAGGGGAATGCCCTCTAGCTCAGCAGGCTTGTCATACAGTGGTCTAACTTCCAGTCCTGATGTGAGCTGTATTTGGGTTTCTTTCTTTCCTTTTCTTCCTTTCTTGCTTTGGGGTTTATTATTGTTGCTTGGTTTTTTTCAAGACAAGGTTTCTCTGTGTAACCCTTGCTGTCCTGAAACTCATTCCACAGGCCACGCTGGCCTTGAATGCCAAGATCCTCCTGCCTCTGCCTCCCAAGTGATGGGATTAAAGGTGTGCCACCACTTCCCAGCTCTGGTTTCTTTTAAATTACAAAACTGAAGAAAATATTTCAAAATTCATGTTTTACTGATACTTTGTGAAATCTAGAAACACAGCAAGCTTTATTGAAGGCAAAGGCTACTCTTTAGGGAGCAATCATACAGAGGTACTCAAATGTGTGAGGCACGCACCTGAGTAGGTAGAGGCACACACCTGTGTAGAGGCATGCTACAGGAAGCCATGAGAATGCAGCATAGGAGAAACAAAAAACAAACCTCATTTTTAACTGTGCAAATTGTTCCCAAATGGAATACGAAAAGGAAAGCCTTTGGAAAGAAAGAAAGGGAAGAGAGGCAAGATGGCCCCAGGGCAGGACCAGGGGAGTTTTAAGAAGCCTCAGGGAACTGGAGCAATAGTTTCTGTAAAGATACCAGAAATAAAGCGAACTGGGAATGTCTGCAGGGAAAGGAGACTCATGAGGAAGAAATGGAGCAGCTTGTGGGGGAAAATCAGAAAAAAATCAGAAAAGAGAGGGTATCCAATATGCATTGAGTTAGGGAAGGTCAGACAGTTAGCATCGATCATAAAGCATGCCGGAGAGCAGAGTTGAG